TGCGGGCCGGGGCAGCCCGGAGCGGGTGGCGGTGCCCGGCCCGCGGGAGGGATGCCGGCCCGGGATGAGCATCCCTCCGGCTGGGAGCTGGGGTGCTGACACACTGCTCGGGGTCGGTCTCAGGAAGTCTCCACTCTCCCCCTTCCTCCGGGGCAGCTCTCCCTCTGGCAATGCTCTGTGCTGGTTTATAGGACCCTGCCGTGAAACCCGAGTGAGAGCCGAGCGGTGGTGCCTCGGGCTCTGTAAGCTCTGTGAGCTGAGCCCCTGGCCGCTGAGGTTTATCCTATACTATGCTTTTAAGGCATGTGGAGCTAGAGAGCTGAGCACAAATTAAATGTGGTGTTCATTGGAGGTGCTAAATAATGCTTTTTCATCCAGAGTATTTGCCTAGGGTTGACCTAGTGTTTTTTGACTACAAAAATACACAGCTGGAAGATTCAGATAAGGGCAGAACCCATTTACCTAATTAATCCTCAGGAATTTTCTAAACTGGAACAGTGAATAGTAGAGGTACAAAACCAACTTTTTTGTGATGTATCTCTCCATTGCCTTTTGTTAGACCTTTGGTCCCGCAGTGTCTGAGTACATTGGTGTCTCTCATAGCAAGCAGTCTGTGGGCTGGGGAAACCCTGTCTCACAGAGGGAAGGAACCTGAAATGCTCACCCTCCACCCCCCAAAAAAACCAACCCAAGAAAGTGCCATTGCATCTTCAGCAAGCTAACCTGTGTTCTGGGGACAAGCGACTGTAGTAATGAGCAGGCAGGACATGTCAGTGGTGCTGCCAGAGTCTTGTTGGCTTGGGCAGACAACCAAGAAAATGGTGATAGCTCTGTGAAGAGAAAGAAAGGGGATGCAGCCGTGTCTGCTCATTTAGTATCAGGCTTTGCTGCTTTGTGGGTTTGCTTGGATAGTTTCTGTGTGGGTGTATTTCTGGAATAGCAAGGTGTGAAGCAGGGACTCCTGGAGGGGGATGTCCTGACGGTAGCGGCATCCTTGTGAAGGTGCTGTAGGGCTGCTCCAGGGAACAGAGGCAGTAGGCTTGTCTGTGCCCCAAAGTCAGGTGTCAGGACTGTAGGCTTGCTCTGGAGCCAGAAACATCCTAGGTGACAGTGTGGGTGTGCACAGATTTATTGTGGCCACGGACAGGAAGCATTTCATCCAGGCAGGGTTGCATGGAGCAAAGCAATGTGCTCCCATCTTGTGTCACGGGCCCGTGAGCTGCAAGAGCTGCAGCATCCACTGCATCTCTGGGTCTGCAGGGAAAGAACCACATTGGTGGGAAGGGGTTGGATCTATAAGCCTGCCCCATCTGACCTGCAAGGCTGGGAAGGAGAGAATGGCCCATTGATAATTATTTAAACATGGTGCTGAAGCCAAGAACTGAGTGGCTGTTGACTTTCCTTATTTTTTATTTTTTTTTAAATTTATGAAATGTCTTAAGGGAATACAAAGTGCACAACTGTTTAGAGCTTTATATTGAAAAATGTGGAGGTCTTCAATATTTTGTGGTGAAAATGAGCAGTTCTGTAGGTCATTCTTTGTGGGGAAAGAATAAGAGGGGCTGAAGGTTGCCCCAAAGAGGGATTGCTCCAACGTGCCGCTAGCAAACTTTAGATTTATCACTGAAAATGATGTAAAATGGTGGGTGTTCTGTGCTTTGCAGGCCAAACCCTGAAGCTGCCTGACAGTGGAGACCTCAGTTTAGGTGCCTGTGTTGAAAGGTTTGCTTTAATGCTATCTGGAGTTTCCCCAACCCTCTCTTTAAAACAAGAATAGAAGGGTAAAATCAAGATGTTTAGAAAGAATTTTGTCTCTTAAATATTGAAGCTGGACAATGTTGTCTGAAAAAAAAATGCCTCTGTTGATGTCTTCTGTGTAAGGTTTCTTGCAGAGGTGATACTTTTGCCATGAGGAAAGCAGGAAAAAACCCAAACCCAACTAACAACCAGATCCTAAATATTTTTTGCCCGTGGCTTAGCTATGAGCCAGGAGTGAGCTGCCTAAACTGTTTTTCTCTGTGCATATCATAAAAAACTGGCAGTGTGATACACATATGCTGGGAAGGCCAACAAGTGGGAATAACCAAGGAGCTGATATGAAGAGGGGTGTTGCTGACACTTTGATATCCTTCGGTGTGTGTGCTCATGTGGGTTGTGGAAGGGACATCACCAATAACTTTAGTAACTCATGTACCTGCATGTGCCTAGAACTGGGTGTGTTAGCACTTTCAGAATGTTGCTTGCTCTCTAGGAAAATATATTCTTGAATCACCTGCATAGTACTGCTGTCTCTGTTGTGAAGGTACTTGTCCACAGCAGTGAAGAAAAGAATAGGAATAATCTGCTTTAGTGATTTCTGAAGATTACTTGATTTAGTATTGTTTCAAACACTATAATGTTGGTGTCAGCTGTTTTCATCTATGGTGAACTATGGACTAAACAATGATTTTCACAAACATGCTTTTCTTATAGAGATGTATTATGGGCTGACTTGATTTACAAGCAGGGATTTCAAAGTTCACATCTTGTACTTGGTCTTATCTTAATGATAATGAGCTTGCTCATGTGATTTCATGGAAAATGTTGACATCCACTATGTGGGCACGGGGCCTTTATCTGACACAGTGAAAGCTCAGCCTTCAAGCCTGTCTCCTGAGCCGAGGAAGCCCTGCAGGGCTCTTCTTGGAGTGCTGCCAGGGGTAGAGGGCCTGCCAAGAGCAGCTGGAAGTGACTTCAGGGCAGCAAGCAGCTGTCTGTTCTTGCTGCCCTCAGTGGGACATCCCTGTGCTTCCACATCTTCCCAGGTTAATATTCAGGTTATGGGAATGCCTGCTAAAGAGGATCACTCTGTTGGGGCTGTATATTCAGTCCCCTATAAGTCCCTTTTCAGGACTTGACCTCCATCCCTGACAGGGCATCTCGAGTCTATTCTTTAATCCTGACTTACCTTTAAGGTAACATCCCCAAGGGTGAGTTATAACAGGATGCATCATCTGTGGGTGGCTGGTTTACCACCACCTTGAATGATGTGTGGTGAGCAGCCATGGGATGGATGCTTTAACTCGTCAGTCCCTTTGAGCTTCTCCTGGGAGTGTATGAGTTTATGCACACTCTGAAAAACCAAAGGCTATCAAGGGAAGTTTTCCCTAAAAACTATGAAAAGTCTCTCTTTAATAAACTGAAAAATTTACTCACCCTAACCAGTACTATGTTTATATCTCAATACATATTGGAGTTGAACCTTTTTTGGATCTTCCATCGGTTTCAAGAGAGTATTACTTATTAGTTGCCATTAACTTTTTTTGGTTTTTCTGTCCACAGGTGGAAAAACTACCGGCAAGTCAGTAAGTATTGTTTTCCCTCATAAAAAGTTGCTCTACTGACTCTCTTTGGGTTACATTGTTTTGGTAATATTAGCAGTGTCCAAAATAAAAATCACCCTATAAACATACATTAAATGTATACAATAATGACTTACTGGCCAACATGTGCAAAAGCAGCTTAGTAATTTATTAAATTCCAGCTAAGCATTAGTTTGCTTACCATCTTGATAAAATCTCTGAAGAGTCTCTGCTGACTGAGCAGACATTGGTAGGGAGGAGATTGGTCCCTGGAGCCCATCCTTCTTGTGTCTGTGTTATCATCCACTGCTCTTGAATCTTTGAACTGTGTAATGACATGTGTCTCAGCAACCCTACTTCTGCCTTTGCATTTCTTATCTTGCAAGGTTTTACTCCACAGACTTTTCCCCAGCAGAAAAAGTCAAAGCTATGCAGAAGGATAGTGGCAACCCCAGGGCAGGGCAAGGTTACAGAAAGCATAATAAAACATAACCTTCAGGTTACCTTTTTGGTGGTGGATCTGTCTAGTGCTTCCTGACTAATGAAGGTAACAACAAAAAAGGTTTTGGTAGATGTGTGTATGGGCATATGAATACTGTAACAGAGGTCAGTACAGTGCAAAACAAAGACAAATACACATCATATATTAGGAAGGATTAATTGCATAGCCTCTTCTTGCTTGTAGCATCTTTGGAAAACAGAAGGAATGTCACCTGGGAAAGACCCAGTAGCTTTCCCTCGCATGTCCATGCTCAGCTCCAGCTGTGACGTGCAGACTGCCTCCAGTTTGGGGGCAGCCCTGAAAAACCCACCAGTGGCTGCTGTGCCAGTATGGGAATGCAGGACAGCTCCAGCAGGCACAGAAGCACTAGTGGCTCAAAACAAAAATCTAGCCTTGCTGGATTGTGACCTCCCCAGACCAGCAAGTAACACCCTCCTAAAGAATAAGCTGATGGCAAAACGTTGGAGAAGTTTGTGAGAATACCATATGGTCAAAAGCAATTTAGTGAGGTTTTTTGGAAATTTTTCTTTTTTGGAAAGTCAGGTGGAGATGAGTCCCACCAGCTCCTAGGCCAGGACTGCTCTGTCCTTCTTTTCCTCTGTGTAGATGGGACAGACATGGGGAGGTCTTTGTTCTGCTTCAGGAACAGACATTCTCCACTCTCCATCTGGGCTATTCCCAAATACAAATCACACTGGGTTACTGTTTCAGTAACTAACTTAATGTGTGCTGAACCAAAACTTCAGTGTGGCTCTCCATCCTATGACCATTTTCATGGCTTAGGGGAATGCAGTGTGGACAGGGCACAGAGCATTCTTCTGTGTGAACTCCAGCCCACCAACACCCGTGTCTAAGCTGGGAGTAGTTGCCCAAACTTTCTGCTGTCTTCAGCTGAAGGAAATGGGCAACTTCAAGTGAATTTTAGCAAATTTTGGGATACATGTGAATAGTCTTCCTCTGGAGAAACCTCTTTCTGCCCATGGAGGATGTGGTAACTCAAGAGCAACAAATTTATATTTAGGACTCAAAATATGTGTGCTCTAAAGCTAGAGGAGTCCCACCCAGCACTTGCCTCAGCTGGGATTGGGTTCTTCCTGTGCAGCCTGCTTATTAAACCACGGGTAGGAGATGCAGTATGTTCCTGGTTCTGCAAACAAAGGTCAGTGCTGCTCAGGCATCCTCATGACTGAGTCAGATCAGTCAGCAATGCTTCTGCCACTCTCTTATTTTCATCTCTTCTGCAGGATTCCCCAAAAAAGCCTGTTGTAGCACCCAAGTCTCCAAGTGTTGTGTTGTTTGTTGAGGCTTTGCTGGAGACACTGGCTCTCCAATTTACTTCTGTCAGGCATGATTTCTCTAAGTTTTTTTCCTTTCGATCTGAAAATTTAACTTCATCCTGTTTCACACAAAATAAAGATTAGTTTAATTCCTAAACTTTTGCAATCCAAACAATGTCATTTTTAAATTAAACTTGAGCATGGAGAAGAACTGTTTTGCCTCTGGAATGTTTGGAAATGTCTTTAAAATCTGATTTTTTGCTATTTGCAGGATTACATTATTATTATTATAAAAAAATATTTTAAAAATATAAAAATATTAAGAGGGATGATTATGTTTAAATTGCATCCCCATTAATTTTAATAGAAGTTGTATTATATATTCATCCACTCCATGAAGACAAGTAGGTGGTCAGAAGTTAAACTTCCAGCTCTAGTGACCATATCAGATTTGTGCCTGATGTATGCTTTTTAACCACTGTCTCAATGGCAAGAACTGCATGGTGATGACCATGGACTGCTGCCAGTTGCAGCAGGTGAAGGCTCAGTGAATCTGGCAGCCAAAACCATGCCATTTTAGGCTAGGAATAAAGTCTGTTCTGTTATCAAGTCTGAAGAAATTAAGGAGTTTTCATCAAGCAGAGTAATTTTAAGGATAAGGAGTTTTCCTGAGAGATTTGCTCGAATGAAAAGTTTAAATGTTTATTTGTTTTAATTACAGGTGCTTAAAAGTAGTCCCAAGCTTCTAACTGGTACGCTGCAGGGGTTTGGCATTGAGCGTTTTTGGTTGGCTTTGGGTTTTGTTTTTTGGTTTTTCCAAAAACATTGGCTTTTTGCATGTTTTTAGATACCAATCAAGATTGCTGTAAGGGTGAAGTGCTGGAGACCTCAAATATGCATAGTGCAACACTTGAAGGTCATTTCTAGCATTGCTAAAGGTCTGTTGCTAAGGGCAGATGAGAAGTGTGCAGACCTCTGGGGACCAAGAGAGGAAAGTGAGAACTGAGTCTTGGTTCAGGTGAACTACTGTCATCCTGCAGAAGCCTGTGCAGCCTCTGGGCCCCGAGTACCTACCCACGCCCACTGAGTCCATGTTGAGCTTGCTTAAGCTGTGGGTTGCAGTGAAGAGCGTTGGTCTGGGTTGCACAGCTCTCAGCTCACATTGTCTCTTGCCTCCAGGTGCTCTGCTTTGGTTTCCCTTTGAGCATTTTCTTCATTGTCATCAATGAGTTCTGCGAGCGGTTCTCCTACTATGGCATGAAAGGTACGTCCCTTGTCTCCTTGTGCTGAGCAATACCCAGGCCTGACTTGGCTTTGTAACCTGTTGTTTTGTTGTTCTCCCTACAGCTGTACTCACTTTGTATTTCACCCGTTTCCTACTCTGGGGAGATAACTTTGCCACTGCCATCTACCACGCATTTGTTGCTCTGTGTTACTTGACGCCGATCCTTGGAGCAATCATTGCAGACTCTTGGCTGGGAAAGTTCAAGTGAGTGCTTCCTCAGAAAGCAACCAAAGATCTTGAATGCTCACCTGAAATCAGTGTTACTTAAACCATCACCTAAAACTACTGCTGTGAACAGCAGCTTCAGAGCTAGTGTTGACTACTCCAGGACAGCGGGGTTTTTTTATTTCACCAAAGCTTGAGGTTTTAATTGATTCAGCTCAAACTTGAAACTGCACTGTAAATTAACAGTGCAGTTAATTGTTCCAGTCCTGTTAGCTGGTTAAGGGTGGTAACATGCTTTCCCAGCATGCTGCATGTTTTTCCTCTCACCTGGACAAAATTTAAGTGAATCAAAGAGTATTCACCAAGCTGTGAAAATAGATATCGGGGATTGTAATTACATAGGACAGTCTCTTTATCTGTGGCAAGTGGCTGATGAAATAGTGAATTACTCTGTTATCCGGTGTTAACTGGGCCTTAAAATAAGTTTTTAAACATTATGTGATTTCAGAATTGATAGATCAGTGAGGGGTCTTACTGAGTAGCAATTCTTTCTCTAAATGATGTCTTCTGTATCTTTAGCTGTGGGCTAGCTGACTGGGATATTACCACTGAAGTGCTTTGAGATGTAACCAGATTATTTCCAACAGCTTTATCTCCCTCCCCTTTCCTGATGCTTTGATTTTAAAAGTGTTTGCTTTGCCTGAAACAAAGCACATTAAAGATTTTATGGAGGGTTATGAGTCATGAATGTAAGTGGACTTGCCAAAGGTCTCCCAGAGATTAGAGATGTGCTGTGCAGCCAGCTGCACTGTCTTCTTCCGCTGTAGGGACAGCCCCTGGGAGCCCAGGGCTGTGACCATTGCCCTGTGTGCTCTGTGCAGCTGCTCTCAGCAGTGCAAACTCACTGCAACTAGCTGGATGTCTTAACAGATTGCAGCCTAAATACATTGTGCATTCGCTTGTCTAGATGCTGGGGTTTATTTTTTAAAATTTATTTTGGCCTTTACTTGTTTTATCAAGATGAAACTTTGCAGACCTTGCATCTCTTCTCCTTTGGTTCTCCTTGGATATGCCAGTGCCACAACTGAAAGGCCCAGACCTTAAACAGGAGCTTGTTAAGATGGCTTAAACAAGAGAAAACATGTTTTAGGATACACCATTAGAGTTTAACACCCAAAAATGCAGCAAGGAGACACAAGGAAGGCTTAAACAAGAATTTTTAAAAAATCCTTGATGACAAGAGGAAGAGGAGGTTACCCAAGCACCGTTAAGCACTCTGAAAGGAGAGACTCCATTCTTCCACAGTCCATGTTCTTTGTGCAATGTCTGTCAAGGAGCATGGTGGGACCTGCTCACATATCATTCTATGTGAATTTCTTGGGGAAAATAGTACAGAAATCACAGTTACTTTTTTAATTGTGTGCCAACAGTGCAGTGCCAATTATGTAAGTCTTTGCAGTGTGTTTATAAGCCTCACAAATAAAACCCAGAAGTTTCTCTCCTGATCAGTTCAGGTTCAACTTCAATAGGGAAGTTTTTCCCAGGTTATCAGGTAATTAAAGTAACTTCACGGAAGCATTATTAAAAAAACCCTATTAATCTGTGTCTATTAAATACCATTAAACAGCACCTCATTGCCCCACTTTATTGATTTTTTTTTTTTTACTCTGCTACAGGTGAGGGCAATTTTAAGTCAGAGAAACCTTGTTTTAAAGTGAGGGGAATTTGGTCAATGTGCCTCTTGTGTCAGGGTGCTGCTCCAAGCTTGCTTTGAGGATCTCTTGCCTATGTCAAATAGTTGGATTGTTCTAGGTCTTTGAGAATTGTCCTTCATTATCAGGCCTTGCACTGGGTTTGGGACTACTCCTGGAAACAGGGTTTTTAAATAATTTCACAACATTGCATTGTGTTTCTCCTGATTTTCCTCCAAACTGGAGACCTCTGTCCGTGCCTATTGAACAGAGCCCCACCCAAGGACACAAGTGAACATGGGTTAAACTACAGCTGTATACTTAAGGTCCAACAAAGTCAAAATAGAACACGTTTTTACTTACAGAAAAGAGGACTGGACCCTAAAGCTGGGGTGGGGGGTGCTGGTAATTATGCATACTGTCATCCTAGGCACCTCCTGGCAGAGGAAGTCAGGCTGAAAGCTTGCAGCCTGCACTCTTGGAAATATAAAATAACAGTGAATGTTTAATGATACTTAAATCAGTGTAAATTTCAGATTTCAGTGTTGCAGAGCAGTCCATTCAGCATATAAAAAATATTAAAACGACATTCCTGAGTTGGTCATTAAAAAGGCAACCACTGATGATATTTATTTCCTGTGACCTGGTGATACCCATAGAATCCACTTGTTATCTTGACTTGCTACCTAAAGCAAGACTTAAAGGCTCTAAAGGCTACCTAGAAAAATAATAATAATAATAATAAAAAGAATAGAAATATTGTGCCAGTGGCGTGTGGCCAGATTTTTACAGTAGCTTCTGACATAACTTGTATCTGTTAGTCTTTTTTCATTACCAGGAATTCTTAAAGTAAGCAAAAGTCTGCATTAGCTGTGTAATTATCTGTGTATAATTGTGTTAGCATGTCTAAGGAAATGTATCTCCTCTCTTGACAACAGGACCATTCTCTACCTGTCCATTGTCTATGCGATTGGGCAGGTAGTGCTGTCTGTGGGCTCCATAAGTGACCTGACGGATCAGAACCAGGATGGCTCTCCTGATCATATAGCAGTGAATGTGTGAGTTACCTTGTACACATTTCTCTTTTTTTTTTCCCCAGGCTGGTGGAGGATGAGACAACTTAAATTTATGCTACTTGAATTTCAACTCTCTTTCGACCAGTCTATTATATATGCTTTAAGAACTAACACATTTTTTTTTTTTTATTTTCCCCCTTGTTCCAGTGCTCTGTCCATGATTGGCTTAATCCTTATTGCCCTCGGTACTGGTGGGATCAAACCTTGTGTGTCAGCATTTGGTGGAGATCAATTTGAAGATG